TCCTCTAGAGAACTGCTGTCAACCACCATTACTGTAACAACATAACATGGGCAGACCATGCTTCTGAGTCATTGTTGATTGGAGACACTTTTTCTATTGCTCATACATTTGTTTGAAGATCTAATCTCCTGAAGCTTACAATCTCTTGAAGCTAAATTGGTTTTAGAAAAAAGTCTCTCCAAATTTTTTCGCTGATAATGCCACATCTGTAGAGGATCCATTTCTTTTATGGAATACCCACAAGGAATTCATAAGAGGTACTTTTATTAAATTAAGATGCAGAGGTACTGCATAATTCAAAACGTTATTGGGGAAATACATACTTTAGAAACTCAAAACAAAAAACAACCCATCACAGACTCTCCACAAAGCTGATACGGTTGCGGTATGACTTCCGCTTGATTTTGCTTGATGACTTTGAGAAGGTGTCTAGAAGGCTGACACTTACTATGCTGGTGGCAACAGGACTGGCAAAGTTCTAGCCAATTGTCTGTGGAGTCATAGACAGAAAGCTAAAATTCTCTTCATACATCATCCAGCCACTAAAGATACGCTTTATCACCTGCAGGCTATAGTGGACACATTTACTCACTACTAGAGTTCCTTATATAATCTGAACAAAGATCCTGACACTTTCCAGCTGATAAAAACAAAAGAAAGTGCACCATCCTTGCACATTACCTCAGCAATACAAAGATTTTAATAAAATAAGCTGTGTACTCACAAACATAGCAAATTAAAAAGCGTATAGTAACCAAGAGTAGATCACAGGAGATCAAGTAGCATGCAAATCTCATAGACAAGGAGACTCTTGTGAAAGGCTGATGCATTTCGAAGGGAGACCCCTTCTTCCTCAGAGCCCTTCTTTTGTTCTTATTTGCAGTGTTGTTTATGCTTCCCCAGCCTTACCTAAGAGCTGCACAACCTTTGATCCCTTGGTGGGCATAGTTTAAGGAGGTCGATTTATCCACCTGTTCTGGATCTAGGTCTCTGAGTGCTGGAGATGTCATATTGATTTACTTTCCAGCCGATACCAGAGCTGATTAGGGATTTCTTACAAAAAATTAAACTCCCCCAGCTTTCAAAGACTCACTTAAAGTGTACAGTATAAACTTCCCATTTACTATCTCTGAGATTAACCCTACCCAACAATAAGTTTTCATGCCCAGATGGCTTTACTGGGGAGGAGTACTTCAAATCTTTCATATTTTAGTACCTTATCTCAAAAGAGTTTACAACTCAGCTGTTGTCTTTTCCTCTTTCCCACCCACCCGAGATGCTGAAGACATTGATTTATAACTTTACCGAAGTTGGTAAAGGATCCCATCACTCTGCTAAACTATTGCCCCATCTCACTTTCAGTAATGTCTTAATATTTTTTTCTAAGCTTATAGCCCTTAGATTGATAGGTATATTACCTTTCGTTATTTACCTAGATCAATCTGGATTCACAAAGGTCACCAAAACACAACCAACCAGTGGATACTACTACTTTGTCTGCCTTTATGGTTCAATGTACTCAGCCATTATGGCCCTATATACCAACCATTCTGCCCAAGTCTATATCTCTGGCATGCTTTCCACTCCTTTTAATATATCAAATGGTGCTCACCAGGTGTGTCCTCTTTCTCCACACATTTACAATATGAAACCCTTGGCAACATGCGATCACTCTCATATCATGGGCTTCCCAGTGAAAGAGAGAATTAGAGATGAGCGAATCGAAAACTTGGCAAAGTGGAATTCGTTTAGAAGATTAGGAAAAATTTGATTGGCGCGAATCCGAAAATTAGCAGACTTCGGTATGCGCGAATCGAAATTTTCCAAAAATGGCGGCGACATGTGTGGCGACGGAGCGGGGATCTCTGGGCGCGCAGACAGGCGCGCAGACCCATAATGCATTCATTCATGACATGTGATCGCATTAGCCAATCAGCAGCCAGCCAGCCAGCACTGTGTAATGGTCGAGCTATAAATTGCGGCAATCTTAGAATTCTCCATTAGCCTCCGGTCATTCAAGAGAGACAGACCTCTCTGTATTATGGACAGAGTTAGGGCCAAAGAGACTTTAGGGCCACAGAATCGTTACTTACGGACACAGAATTGTTACTCAGGGACACAGAATTCTTACTCAGGGACACAGAACTGTTACTCAGGGACACAGAATTGTTACTCAGGGACAGACACAGAATTGTTACTGAGGGACACAGAATTGTTACTGAGGGACACAGAATTGTTACTGAGGGACACAAAACACTGTTACTCAGAGGGACACAGAATGTTACTTAGGGACTCACTCAGGGACACAGAACTGTTACTCAGGGACACAGAATTGTTACTCAGGGACAGACACAGAATTGTTACTGAGGGACACAGAATTGTTACTGAGGGACACAGAATTGTTACTCACAGGGACAGACACAGAATTGTTACTGAGGGACACAGAATTGTTACTGAGGGACACAGAATTGTTACTCGGGGACACAGAATTGTTACTCAGGGACACAGAACTGTTTACTCAGGGACACAGAATTGTTACTCAGGGACACAGAATGTTACTCAGGGACACAGAATTGTTACTCAGGGACACAACAGAATTGTTTACTGAGGGACACAGAATTGTTACTCAGGGACACAGAGAATTGTTACTCAGGGACAGACACAGAATTGTTACTGAGGGACACAGAATTGTTACTGAGGGACACACAGAATTGTTACTCAGGGACACAGAAATTGTTACTCATGGACACAGAACTGTTACTCAGGGACACAGAATTGTTACTCAGGGTTACAGGACACACAGAATTGTTACTGAGGGACACAGAATTGTTACTGAGGGACACAGAATTTATAATGAGGGACACAGAATTGTTACTCAGGGACACAGAACTGTTACTCAGGACACAGAACTGTTACTCAGGGACACAGAATTGTTACTCAGGGACAGACACAGAATTGTTACTGAGGGACACAGAATTGTTACTGAGGGACACAGAATTGTATTCTCAGGGACACAGAATTGTTACTCAGGGACACAGAACTGTTACTCAGGGACACAGAACTGTTACTCAAGGACAGACACAGAATTGTTACTGAGGGACACAGAATTGTTACTGAGGGACACAGAATTTTTTTTTTTTTTTTTTTTTTTTTTTTTTTATTTTTTTTTTGTTACTTTGTTTACTCAGGGGACAACAGAATTGTTACTCAGTGACACAGAATTTTTTTTTTTTGTTTTATGAGACTGAGGGACACAGTAAATGGTAACACAGGGACACAGAATTGTTACTCAGGGGACACAGAATTGTTACTCAGGGACACAGAATTGTTACTCAGGGACACAGAATTGTTATCAGGGACAAACACAGAATTGTTACTGAGGGACACAGAATTGTTACTGAGGGACACAGAATTGTTACTGAGGGACACAGAATTGTTACTGAGGGACACAGAATTGTTACTCAGGGACACAGAATTGTTACTCAGGGACACAGAACTGTTACTGAGGGACACAGAATTGTTACTCAGGGACACAAAACTTTTACTCAGGGACACAGTAATTGGTTACTCAGGGACACAGACACAGAATTGTTACTGAGGGACACAGAATTGTTACTGAGGGACACAGAATTGTTACTGAGGGACAGACACAGAATTGTTACTGAGGGACACCAGAATTGTTACTGAGGGACACAGAATTGTTACTGAGGGACACAGAATTGTTACTGAGGGACACAGAATTGTTACTCAGGGACAGACACAGAATTGTTACTTCATCGGACACAGAATCGTTACTCAGGGACACAGAATCGTTGAATTAAAAGAGTATGTCAGACAACACGCAGAGGAGATGGCAGAGAGGCAATGTTTCAGGAGCGAGCAGACGTGGCAGCAGAGGAAGGGGTCGAGGCAGCACTAGTCGCAGCCAGTAGGCCAGTGCTCCCGGTGACATCAAGCGGTCCGTGTCTCCACCGACAAACCCTGCCGTCATCGATTGGTTGGCTCGATCGTCTTCCTCTTCCCAGGTCACCTCTGACACCTACAGCCAACGGTCGGTGGGTACGTCAGACACAACCGTTAGTTGGCATGGCCCGCGGGAGCAAGCCCACTGAAATCACGTGTCCTCTACCTGCCCCTGTCCTTTGGTGTTCCCTAATCACCAAGCTCGAAGTATCGCATGCTGTGGGCTCAGCCCCACTGTACAGTGAGGAAGAGCTAACAGAGGGCGGTCAGGAACGGGGGGGACATCCGCCTCTTCAGCAGCCAGGCGAAGAAGTACTGGCGAGGAGCAGTGGCTCGGTGAGCTGGTCTAGAGACAGGTCTGTCTCCTGACCCACACGTAGCCGAGGGGGCTAGTAGTGACGCGGAGACCCTAATTGATGATGATGAGGCTGATCGCATTGGCAGCCTCGTCGTCATCAGGCTATTGCTTCCGCATCATCAGGAGAAGAGGGTGTGCCAGCTAGCCAGCGAGCAAAACAGTCGGTGGGTTGCCCAGGAGGCAGCAGGGGTCGCAGCAGTGTCAGTGGAGGCAAACGGCCACGGAAGGAGTAGAGCACCAGCTCCACTGCAAGCCTACCACCACGGCCAGTAGTGGTGACCGGTGGTTGCACGGAGGACGTAGCAGTCAGCCAGTGAGGAGTAGCTGGGGCAAAGTTTCCTACTCGGCGGAAGGGAGCGTGTGTGGCAATTTTTCGTCAAGCAACCCGAGGAAGTAAAACGTAGCCGATGTCGACTATGTGGCCAGAAAGTCAAGCGTGGCCAGGGGGCCCATGTCTCCATCGCCACACTCTGCCATGGAGTGCCACTTTCCAGGTCCCTCACACTCCTGGTGGGGTTCCATTTTGGTGGTCATAGGGTGCAGGCAGATTACGGGCCTCCCATTGCCTGCTCGCCAGGCCCCCGGAATCTGCCATGGCCCCCAGTGACCCGAGACTTCTGCGATGCTAGCTGCCCAGACGCCGTAATCTGTTCATTGGGGCCCGGTATTCCACCATCCTTCATGCTGCTGCCAGGTCCAGAGTGTCTCATGGGTCCCTGTACGGCCTCCATTCTGCTGCTGTCTCCATCGCCACACTCTGCCATGTGCCACTTTCAGGTCTCCTCACAACACTGCTGGTGGTTCCATTTTGTCCATAGGGTGCTGGAGATTACGGGGCCTCCATTGCTGCTGCCGGCCACGTAATCTGTCATGGGCCCCTTGTACCGCCTCTTCATGCTGCTTGCCAGTGTCCCTTAGAGTCTCTCAGGAGTCCCTGTACGGGCATCCCATTCGCTGGCTGTCTCAAGTCGCACACACTCAGCCAAGTGCACACTTTCAGGTCTCCTCACACTGCATGGTGGTGTTCCATTTTTTGTCATAGGGTGCTGGCAGGATTACGGGCCTCCCATTGCGTGCCTGCCAGGGCCTGTAATCTGCCATGGGCCACTGTACCGCCTCCTCATGCTGCTGCCAGGCCAGTAGTGTGTCATGGGTCTCCTGTACGGGCACTCCCATTGCTGCTGTCTCCATTCGCCACGGCACTCTGGCCATGTGCCATATTTCAGGGGATCTCTCACACTGTGTGTTGTGTTCCATTTTTTGTCATAGGGTTGCTGGAAGATTAACGGGCCTCCATTGCTGCTGCCAGGCCCGTAATCTGCATTGGGCCCCCTGTACCGCTTCCTCATGCTGCTGCCAGGTCCAGAGTGTCTCATGGGTCCATGTTACGGCTCGTCCCATTGCTGCTGTCTCCATCGCCACAACTCTGCCATGTGCCACTTTCAGGTCTCCTCACACTGTGGTGGGTTCCCCATTTTTTGTCATAGGGTGCTGGCAGATTACGGGGCCTCCCATTGCTGTGCCAGGCCGTAATCTGCCATGGGCCACCTGTACCGCCTCCTCATTCTGCTCTTGCCAGGTCCAAGTGGGTCTCATGGGTCCCTGTAGCGGCTCCCATTGCTATTGGTGCTGTCCATTGCCCACACTCTGCCCATGTGCCACTTAAAGGTCTCCTCACACTGTGGTGTGTCCATTTTGGTCATAGGAGTGCTGCCAGATTACGGGCCACCCATTGTGCGGCCAGGCCCGTAATCTGCCATGGGCCCCATGTACGCCTCCTCATGCTGCTGCCAGGTCCAGAGTGTCTCATGGGTCCTGTACGGCCTCCATTGTGCTGTCTCCATCGCCACACTCTGCCATCGCATGTGCACTTTCAGGTCTCCTCACACTGCTGGTGGGTTCCATTTTTGTCATAGGGGTGCTGGCAGATTACGGGCCTCCCATTGCTGCTGCCAGGCCCGTAATCTGCCATGGGCCCCTGTACGCCTTCATCTCATGCTCCTGCCAGGTCCAGAGTCTCTCATGGTCCCTGTACGGCCTCCCATTGCTGCTGTCTCCATCGCCACACTCTGCCATGTGCCACTTTAAGGTTCTCCTCACACTGCTGGTGGGTTCCATTTTGTCATAGGGTGCTGCAGATTACGGGCCTTCCCATTGCTGCTGCCAGGCCCTTAATCTGTCTGGGCCCCTGTTACCGCCTCCTCATGCTGCGTGCCAGGGCCCGTAGTCTGTCTCATGGGTCCCTGTACGGCCTCCCATACTGCTGTCTCCATCGCCACACTCTGCCATGTGCCACTTTCAGGTCTTCTCACACTGCTGGTGGGTTCCATTTTGTCCATAGGGTGCTGGCAGATTACGGGCCTCCCATTGCTGCTGCCAGGCCCGTAATCTGCCATGGGCCCCTGTACCGCACTCCTCATTGCTGCTGCCAGGTCCAGAGTGTGTCATGGGTCCCTGTACGACCTCCCATTGCTGCTGTCTCCATCGCCACACTCTGCCATGTGCCACTTTCAGGTCTCCTCACACTGCTGGTGGGTTCCATTTTGTCATTAGGGTGCTGGCAGATTTAAGGGCCTCCATTGCTGCTGCCAGGCCCGTAATTTGCCATGGGCCCCCGTACCGACTCCTCATGCTGTGACATTGCAACAAGGGTGGAATTCAACCCTACATATGTTTAAAGCGCCTTTACGAACAGCGAAGGCCATCACCGATTTCCTGATGTTACAAGCGGATAAAGGTACTCCCCTGTGTAATTAGATGTCAGCATTGGCAGCTCATGCGTGACACCTGCCGCTTGCTCAGGCCCTCCCATTGAGGAGGTCTACGCTATTCGTGAGTCGGCAGGACTATGGGATGAACGACGTCATTCCTCTGTTGCACGTCCGGAACAAATGCTGTTAACAATGGGGCTGGTCAGGGTGCGGTAGACGTGGCGCACAGATCTCAACGCCACATGACCCCTGTGGGGGGCAGGACAGGAAGAAGAGGAGGAGGTAGAGTAGAGGAGGACATTGGTGCTCAGGAATTATTGATGAAATGGGTGGTTTTTTCCACTCAGCGGACAGGGAGTGGAGGAGCAGGAGCATCTGGTAGAGGAGGAGGAGGAGGAGACAGGAGGCAGTATGCTGTGGAGATGGAGGCAGGGAGTCCCTCGCATTCCTTGGCACAAATGGCCCATAGCATGCTCGGTTGCTTGCGTAGCGACAGCCGAATAATAAACCATCAGACAGAGGGATGACTTTTGGGCCTGTCCACCTTGTTGGACCCTCGCTAGACCGTTCAAAAATGGTGGCCTTTTTCACACCTTCTGAGAGGTGAGGGCCAAAATTAAAAGTACTATAAAAACCACCTATGTGTCCCCCAGTTGGTCTCTGCTTTCTGCGCCAACGTCCATCCTCAGCACTGTGGCCCTGTGCGCTCAAGCGTTCCGCTGCCATGGCAGCAATGGGGAGGGGTGGGGTGGTAGGAGCAGTGGCACTCACAGCAGCGTGCTTCCTCAGTCTGCAGTCGATGATGAGTAGCTTTCTTCACCAGCGCAGTGAGGAACTACTACCAGCCGCAGCAGCAGCAGCATCAGGTGTACCTGGAGCAGGACCTCAAACAACAGGCTTTGGCCAATTGGACAGCACTTTGCCAACCTGAGGTAGACAATCCCCTTGACTACTGGACAATGAAACTTGACCTTTGGCCCAACTAGCTGAATTTGCCCTTGAAAGGACTGTCATTGGGCCCGGCCCAGTAGCGTGGCAATCGGAGCGGCATTGTTTAGGAGCGCTGCTTTAGTGCAGGCAGGAGGTATTGTAACTCCGCGGAGGACCACGACTGGTCCACCCTAAGTGTGGAGAGACTCACGTTTGTAAAAATGAATCAGGGAGTGGATTAGTCTCTGGATTTCAAGACCCACCAGGCCCGTAATCTGCCATGGGCCCCTCGTACCGACTCCGCTCATGCTGCTGCCAGGTCCAGAGTGTCCTCATGGGTCCCTGTACGGCCTCCCAGTGCTGCTGTCTCCATCGCCACACTTCTGCCATGTGCCCACTTTCAGGTCAGGTCCTAAATCACACTGTGGTGGGTTCCATTTTGTCATAGGGTGCTGGCAGATTACGGGCCTCCCATTGCTGCTGCCAGCCCGTAATCTGCCATGGGCCCCTGTACCGACTCCTCATGCTGCTGCCAGGCCCGTAATCTGTCATGGGCCCCTGCACGCCTCCTCATGCTGCTGCCAGGTTCCAGAGTGTCTCATGGGTCCCTGTACGGCCTCCCATTGCTGCTGTCTCCATCGCCCACACTCTGTCATGTGCTACTTTCAGGTCTCCTCACACTGCTGGTGGGTTCCATTTTTGTCATAGGGTGCTGTATTGGCCTCCCATTGCTGCTGCCTCCACGCCACACTGTGGCTCCACACTCTGGTTTTGGCCCCGTGATGCCCTAAATGAGTGAAGTGTGCGGTGATTCTAAGATCGACGGCACTCATCTGCATGTCATACTGACTGACAGTATTATTTCTCTTCCCCCAGCAGACTCCAAGGGCCAATTTAAATTAAAGGTACAGTGTTCTACACTAATATAATGGCTCTCTGAAGCCTAGAAACACCCTTTTTGATAAGTTAAATTCGCAGCGAATATATTCGCCTCGAATCGAATTTATTCCTCGAATTCGCCGAATCAGCCGTATCAAATTTTTTGAATACTTCGCTCATCTTCTAGAGAGAATGCATACCATTATAGTCTGGGTTCTCAGATGATATTTTTGATGTAGACAGAGCTATGGAGAATTCTCTGACATCAGTACATCAAACCCTTACATTAGGTTTAATCAAGTGGACATCATTATAAAGATAATGAAATTGAATCTTATATATTGGATTTAGGGGTTGCCATCACCTTCAAACAAAGGCTTATGGCTACTTTTCTGTATTAGTATTGGAAATCTGAAGGTGTAAACATATTCTAGGTATTCATACTCCCTCCCAAATCAATAGACCCTTGTTAAATTTCAATGGTGGAACATTACCTTATTCTAAATACTCTGCTTTACACTAATTTACAACTACTTTCTAAACTACAAGGTCTGGAAAATTTTGAAGCTATCTTGGTTCAGCTGTCTCACAACATTCAAGATTTTTTTTTGGTAGTTACTTCCACCACAATTTGTTTAGAACATTACATGTTACTGTATCTAATGCATTATTTTTCAACATCTCCAATCCATTTTGAACCAATACCTATAGATAGATAAGAAGGCTAGATAATATTCAGTAATTGACTAAACTAAGGAAAAGCTGGAGGGGGTTGGTCTCCTGTTAAACCGAGTTCTATTATCTAGCCTCATTTCTGAATCATTTGAAAGCGTGGTTTCCTCTCAGAAAACATACTCTCTGGGCAGAATTAGAAAGCACCAAATTCCAGAGAATAATTTATATAAACTACTAAGTAGCTTATCATTACATTTCATATAAAACTATCCATCTCTCTCCACTATAGAGGATTGCTATTGGTGTGGCCAAAATTATGATTAATATGACCCCTGGGATCAATAATAAAAAATCTACTCTTGGTTCATTCCCCCCCCCATTGCTCACGTTATTCTTTTATCATAACCAATATTAAACCTGTCACACTGTGGTTTATTTACTAAAGCTGGAGTGTGCAAAATCAGGCTCACTTCTGCATAGAAACCAATCACCTTCCAGGTTGTATTGCCAAAGCTTCATTGAGCAAGCTGAGGTTAGAAGCTGATCATTTTTCTATGCAGAAGTAAACCTGATTCTGCACTCTCCAGCTTCAGAAAATAAACTCCACTGGGTCAGTTGGGTATCCACGTTCTGGAGGATCTACTGTACAGGTAGGGCATTACATTAAAACTACAGCTGGAGTATGGTATCTCTACTTTTGACCATTACAAATATCTGCAAATTGTACACTTCCTACAACATTATATACATCTCACCCCTTCTTTACCATGGTGAGCAGTTCAATACTACAAAGTGATCACTGCAAACACTACAGGTATCTCTTTATTTTATTCTATCCTCCAATACAAAGCATTATTTACCAAGTCAACCACCTATTATAGCTTGGGAACATGGCTTTGGTAGCGAGTACCCCACTGTGAGCTGGAGTAAAGCTTTGAGGGCCACATATGCAGCCACCATGAAGGGCAGACTCATGGAAATTCACTCAGAAGTTTTTTTCCATGCGTTGGTACTTAACCCCATGTCTTATTGCAAAATGTTCTCTACAACTGTCCCCTAACTGCTGGAGAAACTGTGGTGCAGCTGGCAGACTATTTCATATATTATGGTCTTGCCCTCACTTCTCCACTTACTGGCCACCAGTCTTTGAAATAGTAAAACTTTACCACTTGCGCGATAAGATCAATGTCCCCAGGTATAGCATTATTCTTCTTCGAGGTAGACACGGTCCCACATATCCTTAGAAACTTGGTGTTTCTTATTTTTTTAGCTGAGTGGCATGCCTTATCTTAGTTAGACACTGGAAAGACTCTAAAGCCCCAAGGATAGTAGAGGCAATGTGAACAATTCATGTCCATGGCCAATTATGAATTACTTTTTGAATTTTCTGCTGAAAATACCATGTATCTTTTAATGGATACCTTGGTTAGAATGGTACCATATGTTACTACGAAGCTTACTGTCATTGAATATGTACTGTGGATATGGCATAAGTTTAATTCCTTAATGCTCAGTCTTATATTGATCCTTGACTGTGACTGACTCTTGACAATGTCTGTTGAGATAAAATATATGGCAGGGCAGGGCGGAGTTTTGTGCTGCCAGCGCCCACGCCTGTCTGGAGCAGGTACCAGTGGCCTTTTTTTAATCTTAAGTGCATATATTGATGGATGTTTGTAAGTAGAATGTTATTTGTATATTAAAAATAATTGGCTGTGTTACCCTATTTGGAATCTCTTCTTTTTGACCAAAAGCAGAAAGGGAGAGTCACGAGTGGAATACATTGGAGATATGTGGCATGTATCCCCTATGCTAAGAAAGCTATGAAGCAAGATTCATGCAGCTCTATGCTATGTTAGACCACCTATAATTTGGGGTCTAACAATCTGTAAAGAAGCAGTGTGTTTTGCTTTAGTGGGGCGCATGTAGCACCTGGTTGTTAACTCTGGAGGATATCGTGGACGTGGTTAACCTTACAAACAAATGTTTTGGATATTGAGAACACTAAATAACACTTTTCATGGCCTTTATGGGTCACACTTTGGTTTTGTGACTTATTTAAAGACACCTTTTTTAATTTATGGTTCACTGTTCTTTATTGCTACTATATTTAATTTTTATGAATAATATAGTGGAATATTTAGGTGATATATTTATAGTCATTTAATGATTTATGGCTGTACTGTACTTTGACACATTTGATTTTTCATAAATAACATAGCGCAACCATATTAGATTTATTTGTTTATTGGGCATATGTATTTTATACTTTTCAGTGCGGCTGTGACTTATAATATTTTTATTTTTATTTTTGGTACTAAGTTAGGGTTGCCACCTCATCCCTTTAAACTTAA